ATGGCGTCACCACCCAGTGACAAGACTTCCTTATCACCAACACTGTCACCTCAGCAGCTCACTACAGGCATACCCTCACAGTGAGACATTCCACCACAGGCCTACCAACTACATCTAATTCCTTGCCCCCCACTGTCATCACCTCAGCATACCTGACCCATCACAGGAATACACTTGCAGTCATCACCACAATCCCATTTCCCTGAAACAGCATGCAACTTCCTTGTCACCACCAACCTGACTCACTACAAGCATACCCTCACAGTGAGACATTTCACCACAAGCCTACCAGCCACACATAATACCGCGTCATACCTGCTGACATTTTGGCATACCCAACTCCCTACAGGCATACTCTTGTAGTCATCACTGTGACCTTGTTTTATTGAAACAACATCTGATTTCCTTGTTACCACTAACCCAACTTGCTGCAGACATTCCCTTACAGTGGGACATTCCACCACAAGCATATCCGCTACACTAATCCCTGATTTCTTCAGCAACCAGCGCACCCTACCATGTATCAACCCACTACTGTGATCCCAACAGATCAATCAACTTGTGTGTCAGACCCAGCCAGTGACTAAATTTGGTGACCTTGATCAAACCAAGCAAAGAAATCGGTCAACTCCTGGTGCTACCCTTACACCTTCTATGGTAGTGAATGCTGGACAATCTCCTTGTAGATGAAGTAGAAACTTAAAGCATCAGAAATGTGGTTCTACAGAAGGATATTGAGAATACCATGAGTAACGACAAAATTTTAGAGAAACTGGAAACAAAAAGATATTTACATTTAACATCAGAAAGAGGTAGTTGAAATTTCTGGGACACATAATAAGGAAAGAGGGTTTGGAAAATTTGATACTCACAGGCTATACTGAAGGCAAAAGAGATAGAGGAAAACAATGCATAATCTATCTAGTGAACTTGAGCAAATAGATGGTGGTTTAGGAGAGATAACAAAAAGATAAAATTTAATAATAATTTATGAAGGACAGGAAATTATGGAGAGCCATGATTGCTAACATCCTGAAAGAACATGGCACATATAAAAAGTAGAAAATGAAGAAGTTATTATTAAAAAAAATAGATTTTTATGTGAAATTCTTTTTTATCCTTTTTAGAACCTTGAAAATTTTGGTTTAAATTCTTGTTTTTCTGGCATTAATGCATTAATTAGTAGAGGAACTTTAGGCATCATTTTGTGGTGAAAAACACATTGAAATTCTTGCAAAAATCATATATTGTTGTATTTTAATTTTTATTTTTGAAACATTTCCTTTTTAGAAAAAAAAAGAATTTTTTACCTCTGTTACCTCCCCACTCATTTAATTGTAAGAAATTTTTTTTTGTATCATTTAATGATTATATTAGTTATAAGGACAAGCCCCTGAAGAATTTAAATCACAAATTTCTTCTTTTATGTACCATAGAAGAAGAACCTTTATACTAGCTGCACATCCATATGAACAGACTAAATTGGAAAAGAAAAATTTGAATGACATTAGTTTTAAAGCTTATATGTATCAATAAACAGTTTGGTTAAAAGGTTGATTGCATCTCTATTGATACAAAGAATCTATAAAGATGGAAAGTAAATAAAAGTATGGAATAATTAGATATAAATATGTCCTACATCAATCTGCTCTGAGACATCTATACTACATTATTCATACCGACTGCATATTTAAAGAAATCTGTAATTTGCATACATATATATATATATATATATATATATATATATTATTGAGGTCACTGATATGGCCCAATTTACTTTTGATGGCCTATATTTTATGTTTTGTGACTCCTCATACATTTACCTGGGACACACCTGAGGCAAATGACTTTGAGAAAGGTTCAAAAGCAAAAAAAACGTATATATATATATATATATATATATATATATATATATATATATACTAAATGAATAAAAATGTCAACAAAAGAAAAGCAAATGGATGAAAATGAAAAGGTATTATTATTCACTGATGGTACACGGAGGTGTGGTTATGGCTGTTCTGGAAGGTTGAATGACTGTTGGGATTTTAGCAGTGTTGACAATGCTAGGTTGGGGGGGGGGGGTTGATGATTATGAAAATATGATCCATATAACCAGTTAAGTGAGAGAATTGAAATAATAGAGAATTTAAAGAGAGGGGTTACATTTTTTTTATATCAGTTTTCCCTTTTTTAACCTCCTAACTTATCTCCGAATGTACATTTCTTTTTCTTCTAATTTTATTTAGTTTTGTTTTTTTTTTCTTTGCATTTTCTGCTTTTATTTTTTCAGTTTTTTCTGAATTTTTCTTGATTATCAAATTTTTCTATTTTTTTTTCTTTTCTTTATTTTTTGATGCTCCTGCTTTTATAATTTTTATTCTGGATGATTTGCAAAAAATTCCTCATAAAATGTCTTCGGCTCTTTTATTAGTTTGTTCATAGTCCATCTTTTGCTGTTTCTGCTCTCCTTTACTTTTTCTTATTTACTTTTCCTCCTCCTCCTTGTTTTTCTTTCACATTTTTCTTCTTCTTCTTTCCAGTTCCTCCTTCTCTTTTTCACCTTCTTCTTTTCAGTTCCTCCATCTTTTTTCACCTTCTTCTTTTCAGTTCCTCCTTCTCTTTTTCACCTTCTTTCCAGTTCCTCCTTCTCTTTTTCACCTTCTTCTTTTCAGTTCCTCCTCCTCTTTTTCACCTTCTTCTTTTCAGTTCCTCCTTCTCTTTTTCACCTTCTACTTTCCAGTTTCTCCTTCTCTTTTTCACCTTCTTCTTTCCAGTTCCTCCTTCTCTTTTGCACCTTCTTCTTTCAGTTCCTCCTTCTCTTTTGCACCTTCTTCTTTTTAGTTCCTCCTTCTCTTTTTCACCTTCTTCTTTCAGTTCCTCCTTCTCTTTTTCACCTTCTTTCCAGTTCCTCCTTCTCTTTTGCACCTTCTTCTTTCAGTTCCTCCTTCTCTTTTGCACCTTCTTCTTTTCAGTTCCTCTTTCTCTTTTGCACCTTCTACTTTTCAGTTCCTCCTTCTCTTTTTCACCTTCTTCTTTCAGTTCCTCCTTCTCTTTTTCACCTTCTTTCCAGTTCCTCCTTCTCTTTTTCACCTTCTTCTTTCAGTTCCTCCTTCTCTTTTGCACCTTCTTCTTTTCAGTTCCTCCTTCTCTTTTGCACCTTCTTCTTTCAGTTCCTCCTTCTCTTTTTCACCTTCTTCTTTTCAGTTACTCCTTCTCTTTTTCACCTTCTTCTTTTCAGTTTGTCTTCCTGTTCTTCTTTGTCAATCTTCTTCCTCTTATTGACCTTCTCCTTTTTCCTTATTCTTTTCACCTCAACCTTTTTCTTCTTTTTTCTCTTCTTCATTCTACAAACTTTTTCCTCTTTTTTCTTTTCCTTTCTTTTTATTCTGGATTTTGCTCACTCTTTCTCTTTATTTCTTTAAACATAGATTCTTTTATACTTTTCCTTCTTTCCCTTTTTCTCAATTTTCTTCTCTTTCATGCAACTCATTTAAAAGTGTCACTGACAGAATGAATATTATTATAATCCTATGATCAGACTCATTCTATCATATCAATATCTGTTTTTTTTGTTTTTTTTTTTTTCCTGACACATTTTTAAAATTCTAACTCATCAGTTGCCTGAATAGAATCATACAAAATCATTACACACTACCCCCACTCAAAACTGTAAAATTTTCTTAATTCACTCATTCTTCCGATTCATTCTTACTAAATTCTCCACTGTAATCTACCCTTATATAAAAGAAAAATATCACAAAATTCCTTAAATATTTGGCCTTTTGTAGTTGTTCCTTTGAAACAGAAATCTAGACAAAAAGAAATGTCAAGCTTAAACATAAAAGTATATAAAAACAGGCAAAGAAATAAGCATTTCCTCATCTATAAACATATGTCAGCATAATTGTTGTCTACTGATTTCATTATAATCATGATTTCATGTCTTATCAAAATCTATGTCACGTGTGGCCAAACTGCAACTAGTGAGCCACAGGCGGCTCTTTGATATTTAACGTGTGGCTAATGTGTGATGTGTAGAAATGCAATGTAATTACAAGAGAATCTGTGTAAAGAGAGCTTGAAAAATTTGATACTCACAAGACAGATTGAAAGAAAGAGGGACAAAGGAAAACAATACATAATTTACCTAGTGAACTTTAGTAAAATGATGGCGGAACAAGGTTTTAAAGAGATAAAAAAAAGATAAAATTTCTTAAGATCTACAAAGGACAGGAAATTGTGGAGAGCCATGATCGCTAATGTCCTGAATGAACATGGGATATAGAAGAAGATCTGCCTAGATACTGTCTAGATTTTGGATAATTGCATAAAACTAAAATGACTGGATAAGAAGCATTTTTTGGTATACAAGATGCCCTATTTACAACCCAAAATTTGATGTCAAAATCTGTTTTCACCCTATGCAACAAAGTTCTATGCTACAGTCTCTAGATTTAAAAATTAGTAAGTTTCATAACTATTTCACCCATTATTGCATTGCATCTAATTTTTTAGAAAGGGGTTATCTAAATTTTAAAATCCACCAGCCCTATAATTACTATTAGCTAGCAAATAGATTGGGTAAAAAGAGCTAAAATTTTAAGGAAACTTTATACAGTAATAGGTTAATTTAATGATTATTAGTATTTTTACTATTGAATATATGATGAGATAATAAAAAAGATAAAATCTATTAAGAAAAAGGACAGAAAATTGTAGAGGTCGATGATTGCCAACATCCTGAAGAGACACAGTACATAGAAGAAGAACATTATTTTAGTAATGTTTGATAAGTACATGAGACTCAATTTTTCATGTACAAAAGGATTGTTTGTTCAATTCTGTGACTCTGCTAATGGATCCATCAAGGGTATGTGATTTCTGGTTTTTCTTTGAACATTCAATCATTTTGTGAAGTTGGTAGAAATTCTGTCTTTGCTTTATAGGAAGGACAGAATATAACATTATATAACTTCTTGGTATTTGGTTGTCTTGTGCTACTTCCATGTTTATGTTGGTGCAACCACTGATATTCTTTGAGGTTTGATTCTAATGATTCAATAGTTTTAAGGTTAACTTCAAGATTTGGACATGATTAGATGATACTGAATATAAAACTTACTTTGGTATCTTTTAGGGTGAATGCACTATATACTGGGGTCATCAAAGATCAACTCTTTTTAGATCATGGTTCCTTATGAACATTAAATTTAATTTAGACCTCTCATATTTGGAACTGAAAAAATCTAATGTCAATAAAAAATTTCAAAATTCAGTAAATTATATTGCTGCGAAGCATAAATCAAAATTTCAAAAATATTTGATATATATACTTTGTGATTACTGAAATTTATACAAATTAATTGTTTAAAAATCTACATGCATAAATAAATTATATTTAAAGTAATGTTTAATGTTTAAAGTGCCTCAAAAATTCTCGAAAAAGAGGATACATGATGAAAAAATGCAAAAAATATAATAATAAAAACAAAATTTTATCATCAAAAACATTTGTGTGGATTTTTTATGTGAAATTATTTTTTTATGCTTTTTACAACTTAGAAAATTTTGGTAAAAAAATATTTTTCTGGCATTAATGCAGCATAAATTATTTTAGGAAATCTGAGCATCTTTTTGTAGTGAAAAACACATTGATTTTGAAATTCTTGCAAAAATCAGATATTGTCAAATTTTAATGAAACTTAGAATGAAATTAAGGAAATTATTTTCATAACATTTCCTTTTTAGAAAATCTTTGTAAAAATATATATTTTTTACATCTGTTACCTCCTGACTCATTTAATTTTAAGAAATTCTTTTTTGTATCACTTAATGTTTATATCAATTGTAAGGACAAGCCCCTGGAGAATTTAAATCACAAATTTCTTCTTTTATGTGCTGTGTCCCTTCAGAATATTGGTGAACATGGCTCTCCACAATTTCCTGTCCTTTATAGTTCTTATTAAATTTTATCTTTTTGTTATCTCTCCTAAACCATCATCTTCACTAGATAGATTATGCATTGTTTTCCTCTATCCCTCTTGCATTCAATATATCCTGTGAGTATCATATTTACTAGATATTTATCCTAGACTCTGTTCTGACATCCATTTACTGAAGCTAGTGAGAGAGGTTATGCTTTGAATTACTCTCTCTTGCCTTCAATCATTCCTATGCGTATCAAATTTCCCAAGCCCTCTATACTCATTATGTTCCTGAAAAATTTCAAACATCTCTTTCTGATGTTAAGTATAAATGTCCTTTTTGTTTCCATTTTCTCTAAAATTTTGTCGTTGCTCATATGTTCAGTCCATGGTATTTTCAGCATCCTTTTATAGAATCACATTTCTGTTGCTTTAAGTCTCTCCTTCATCAATGAAGAGAAAAACTTAGTATTAATTAAAGGTTTCTACCTCTAAGTCATTTATACCTGGATTTTCAAAAATGACACATTACCAGTACATATAAGAAACTTCTGATCAACTCAGGACAAGATATACACACATTTTTATTGTTAAACATAGACTGTGTTACAAATACATTATACAAACATTAATATATATGGATTAACCCTGTAGACTCCCCAGTGGAAAATATGGCCAGCATCTCACCACACAAGCTATTGCTGTCATGGTTTCTGTAGTGAAGATGGAGTTGCTAGGTCTACACTGAACCAGTTTGGAATTCAGAATTGTCGGCTGGAGTAATGGATAGTGGCATGGGTTGAGGAAACAGAGAAAGTTTGAATTCCAGTCAAATCCATAACATTCACTTAGATGCCAATACCCTTAGGAAAGGTATTAATCCTCTTCTCCCCCACCCTCAGCTATGGGTATATAGTAGGAAAGACCGGGTTCTATAACCTTGGATGGCAACTGGTTCACCGCAGAAAGAAATGGCAACCTACTGCGGGAAAAAAATCTGCCTTGTAAGTCATGTATCGAAAAATACATGATCGCCTAAGTGTGTACCACACATGGCACATAACTGACTAACTGACCTTCTCATAGACTTATTGCTAACCAAAGCTAAAAAGTTCATGGTAAACTGGGGATATCTGGTAAGTCTACTTTCCAAGAACAATCATAGTAATTCACAGTACCAGCTTAGTGCCTCAAACTAATGTTATATTAATTGGTTTGTTGATTGGGGTTCTTTTCAATATTAGTTGTTATTTTATTTTATATTTTATTAATTTTTGGGATCCTATTGTTAGGATAGATGCTGTTTTGTCACTGTTATTATGCTCAATATCTGCAGGCTTTTATTTACTTGTCTCGTTATATCTGAAATAGCTTTTGTTTACTAAACCATGGCCCCAGGTGATATTTGAACTGTTCACCCTTTGAGAACAGACACCACTTTGGCTAGTCACTCAAAACTTTTGAATGTACACAGTGAAGCTTGCTAATGGGCATTCCAGGTTGGCTAATGGTTGGTCATCTTATGGAAGGTCAGTATGCAGTATCTGAAACACAATAGTAGCAGCTGGTGACCAGTATTATCTTGGATATCCTTTGTTTTTGTTAAAATAATTGATTTGTGATTGCAATTGTCTTCCATACACATGAAAGGAATACATTCCTTGTTTCTCAAAAGCAAGAGTCATTATACTGTTTGGAAACACAATAAGAATGACAAAAGATATTGCATTCTACTCTGGTGAATTGTGCTGTAAATCATTGTCATACTAACTAAAGTTACTGACAGTTATTTAATTAAAGAATAGTCATTATTATTATTATTATTATTAGTGAAGTTGTTCCTATTATTATATATATACATTTATATATACTAGCACAATATCTTTAAAACATTAAATAGTTATCTATTTACACTATTTACATCATTCAGAATGTTGCCCTCATCTGTATTACCATAATCACAACGTTTTATATTCTGGTCTTCTTCAGGTGATATTAGTCGTAATTTCAAACTGGACACTTTATTTAGTCCACAGGGGTAGATCGTTCTTTGGATAGCTCAGTTTCAATTAATTCTCCTTGGTAACTCAAATGCCCAAGTTTTTGTTCCCTCTGTAGTGGTCAGGTATAGAACTCATAACTCTTTGGGTCAAGTCACTTTTTAATCACTCAATCAACGCTTTTATCCCCAATGACACATAGCAAAGTTTGAGAAATCCTATGAGCATCTCAAATATGTGCATACACAAACATTTATAGTAAAAATGATTGATTTATTTGTTTTCTATGGCTTATCAACCCTTTGCATGTTATGTAAAGCCAGCAAGTATTTAAAATCTTTTTTGAGATAATAATGATTTTAGTGATAAGATCTAAAAAATTATCCCATAGCTGGCAGCGGGTGTGGGGGAGATTCATATCATTCCCAAGGGTATTTGTGCATAAGTGAATATAACGAACCCAATGGGAATTGGAACTCGGCTCTGTGAGTAACAATTCTGAGCCATTATTCATTACTCAACTTGCACATCCAAGCTTACAGCACCTGGTATTCCCAAGTGGTCACCCATCTAGTCACTGACCTGGCTTAATGTTGGTTAACTTCGATGATCATACAGGAACTAGTGTTTAAATGAGACCCAACCATAAGTCTTTATATTAATAACAAACAATGTTGGATGTAAAATCCTTTCAAAATTACTGTTATGTTTCAGGCATGAAACTGAAGCTAGCAGGTATAGATTCATAGAATTCCAAAGAGATGTGCTTCAAATGTAATTCAAATTTTGCTCTTTCTGGCTGGTTTGGTGGCCAAACTGGTAGCAAGAAGGCTTTAGCTAAAAAAATTGGTTTTCCTGATGTAAAAGTGGATACAGCTTCAAATTGTGTTTGAGGCACAGCTTCTCTTTAGTTGTATATATATATATATATATATATATATATGTATGTATGTATGGTTTCGATCCTAGCTAGAGGCACCCAGATGTTTAGCCACACTGATGAGCTGTGATACAGTGAAACAGTTTGTCTGTGGATGACAATATATATGCTCCTGAAAAATTTATTTTGGTTGAGCTCTCTGGGAAGGAAGTGTGATTTTGTTAACAGTGACTATTACTGTATTACAATACTCTTTAGTAAAGCGAATTAAGTTCTCTCAGTCACTGTGTGTTTATCTAAAAATAAATACACTTAAATTCACCTTTATCTCTGCCATGTGCCAACAGCTTAGGGGTAGAATCTCCAACTGACGCCACTTCAGTCGAGTTTCGATCCTAGCTAGAGGCAATGGGACATCTAGCCACACTGATGAGCTGTGATACAATGAAACAGTCTGTCTTTGGATGACAATATATATATATATCCCGAGTAGGACTGGGTACCCTACTTCTGTAATTTATCCCAAGAATCTTCTTCTCATAACAGGAAGAAGCCGGCTAATCCGCCCAGGGTGAATGCATCAGTACAGTATATATATATATATATATATATATATATATATATATATATATATATATATATACACACACATATATATATATATATATATATATATATATATATATATATAATGCCTTTGACAATATGCACTATGGACAATTTTTAAACACCCTTACTCTCCACCACCTAATGGAAAAATTTAAGAATACTAGACAAACTCAGTAAAAAATTGTCTACAACTTCTTGTACTTTGCAACTCTTTGTTTTTTCAAAATTGAAATTTCAACTCTTTCTGATGTTAAGAGTAAGTGTTTTTTCTATAAAACTTTGTTCAGTTCATGGTATTCTCAGCATCCTTCTGTAGAACCACATTACTTCTTGCTTCAAGTCTCTTTTTTTATCGATGAGATTGTCTAGCAATCTCTGCCATATAGGTGTACATTTTTCTTTGTTTCTAATGAGAGTTTCCTGTTTCTTAATACTTTGCTTATATTTTAAAATATAATTCTCCCTATCCCACTGCACCTTCAAATTTCAGTGTCACATTCTTCATCCTCTGTTAAAACACTTCATAGATATTAAAATTTTTATACTTGATTTTGGTTGTTTCAATTTGTAATTGGCATGTTGAGCTCATTTTGCTGGTAGTCATATATATAAATTGAATTTCATCCAGAATCCAGTTGTTAATATAAAAGAAACCTTCTTTTGCATAATTGAAAAATTTTGTATAAAACCTACAGCTTCCATCCACAAAAGCCATTGAGTGGCTTCTCTATAAACTACAAGCAGTTTCTTTTGTTCAGGTTCAGGATATGGGGATTGCCATCTTGGAGTATATAATCAGTTAAAATTTTGATGAGACTATGAGATTCGGTTCTTCAGTTCCTTCCCCTCCAGCTATAGGTTAAACAGCAGGGTAGACTCAATTCTCTAGCCTTATGTGTCAACCAGTATAAGAACATATATATGTATGTATATATATATATATATATATATATATATATATATATATATATATATATATATATATATATATATATATATGAGAGTGGATACTGAAATCAGCAATTTTCATATGTTCAAGCATAGCACAGACCTGTCTCCATTCATATTTGCACAAGCTCTATCTCTGATATTGAGCACTTTTTATCCATAAATATAGTACACCCTAAAACTATATATATATATATATGTAAAAATGGATCCTTTCGTATTTCTTTCAAAATTGTGGCCTTTCAGATATTCTTAAAATCTTATGAGAGAAAATTTAAATATAAAAAAAATGATTTTCTTCTAAAAGTTCAAATTGAAAAACTTTGCAATATTGAACAGCTTATCAGTGACAAAATCGCAATTTCTCAATATTTTCCAATTAAATTTTCCTTTGATTTTTTTTCCTCTTTTTATTTAATAGATTTGACCACCAGACCTTTTTTTTTCATTTGCTTTACTTTGTCCTTTCTTTTAGTTTTTTCTTTTCTCTTTCTCTCTCTCTCCCCATTTTTAATCATTTGGATAATGAAATAAAGAAGTGTCTTTTGTGAGGGTGGGGGTGGTGTCTTTTAATCTATTCTTTTTGATACATGACAATCTCAGCTGATGTATGAGGGATGGTTATCATTATCTTCTCTTGACCCAAACCAATATTTCCTTTTGTTGTTATTGTTCTTAGCAAAAGTAGCAGTAGCAATAACAGTTGCTCATTGTGGTAGATGTAGGCCATTATCACAGGCTGAAATCGAATTCTTTGGTTTTAAAATAGGAAGAATTATGGCTGGTCTAATTTAATTTATCAAGGCAAATTTCTAATCACACTATAAATCATTTTTAATATCTCTTATTGACTTTTGGAAAGGACATAAAATTTCATGGTTTCAAATTTATTGTCTCAGACATAATGACTTGTCAAAGGCAGTTTAACCTAATATATATTTGAAAACACACTTTTAAACATAATGGTCATATATATATATATATATATATATATATATATATATATATATACACATTAGATATGTAAACATGATATATATAGATATAAATGTAAGCATACTAAATCAATTATGAGTATATATATATATATATATTTGCATGTGTAAACATAATATATATAGATAAAAATGTAAACAGATTAAATCAATTATGGGGGTTCTTATATATATATATATATATATATATATATATATATATATATATATATATATATATGGTATTAAATTCTTGCTATGACTTCTGAAATTCCTATCAAATGACCAAATTTTCGAGGGAAGGGCTTCTAGTTAGGCTAACAACTTTTCAATGCTTTCTTTTATCCATTTGTTTGTGTGTAAATGTAAGAATAAGTATATCAATATATCCAAAATAAAATCATTTTAAAAAGCAATTGTTTTATAGAAAAAGCGTTTTTAAGTGTAACATGCCCCTTGTCAATACATTTAAGCTGATACAGTGAAGATTATACATTGAAAATATCAGATCAAATTTCAGGTGATAACAACATCATACTACTTACTTATTGATGCTCCTGATATACATACAACAGAGGACACTGAGATCAGCAATCTTCAAGTGTTCAAGCAGAGAAGAGATTGTCATCATTCTGTGTTGATCTCAGTGTCCACTCTTATATATATATATATATATATATATATATATATATATATATTATTTCAAATGTTATTTTTAGTGGATACCCATATTTGAAATAGACACCCTGTTTTTAATTCAAATAGTGTGTATTATATCTATCAGCCTGAAGATCTGAAAAATCTTAATGAAGAGAAACATGCCTTCTAGCATTTTCTTTATTGGCATTGTAGGGTGGAAAATAATTCATCACCCACAAAGCTGTGTAGACATTTTTGAATTCTATCAAGACTGAGAGATAAAGACTGGGAAGCTTCAGCCCATGTATGGCAGCAGCACTCAATTTTCTGTCTGATCTGGTTCTTGTAAGACTCTAGCAGAAGGAGTCAGGTATTTACTGGTCTGGTACAAAGAACCAACCATTTTTCCAGCATCTTTAGCACTGGATCATATACATGAATTCCACTTGGGGTCTGATGTGAGCTTAATCCTAATAGGCATTCAAGGCAAAGAGTTTCATCAAGAGTACACCTGTTCATCATGATAGGTAAAAATTCAGGGTCTGTTCAGTGATGATGGAATATTAGTAATCTGTTTTTTGAGGTAGCCAATAAAATATTCAGTTTTCAAACGCAAAATTTTCTCAAATTTAAAATGTGAAAATTTAACATTTATTTTTCCTCCACTTTTCTATGTATAAATACAAATTATAAAATAAATTTTCCACATTTAACTTGATAAAGTTCCTCAGGGAATGAAATGTGTTGGTAAAAGAAAATTTATCTTTTGCCTTTTATTTTCTTCTTTAAATAGATTTTTTCATCTGGCATTATTTCTTAAAATTATAACCATTGTAGAGTAGCAGACCACCCCCACAAGATGGACTGGTCTAAAACTATTTAAACAGCACTCTCTCTTACCGAGGGAGAAGGGTTAATAATTAACTGTTTATTACATTAGTCTGTGTTCTCAACCAGGTACTGTATTATTCTCTGGAATAAACTACTTATTTCCTATATTTGTGCCGACCTTTTCTATTTATGACACAACAATAACCATTATTTTTAATGGACAAATTTGAGTTGTCATCCCTCTTATTTTTCAATGGTGAACTTAATGTCAACTGGACAAGATATCAAGAAGAAAAATGTATATTCTATCATGAATCAAACCTTTGTTCTTTTGTTATTTTAAGCAAATGTTCTCATTATTATCACAACATTTTAACCTTTGTATCCTCCGATCTTCTTCAGGTGTTTTTAAGTTCAGGTAATCTTTGAAAAATTTTAAAGCGTTATTGTCTGGTTCCTTGTACCACGGTGATAGTCCAAGGTAGAACCAATAAAGAAAAACTCAACCATGTATATGGAACAACACAAATATTTTACAAACAGGAATATATACAGAGAAGAAGAAAGTGTTAGTACGAACAATCAGGTTTAGTAGTAATTGTCTGAATGTGACTCTGACTCGACTGACTCGCTCGCTCTGACTGACTGACAGACTTCTGACGGACTTCACTCCAGACTTCAGACTGAACTATCGCTTCCTCTTGAGGCACAGTATTTATTACATATGGAATAGTCCATTATGTTATTATGGA